AATACAATATTTTCAAGATTTTACATACACTTCAGTAAAATTAATGAAACTTTATTACACAGAAAAAAATTTGCAAATTTTTTTGTAGTGTATAATAATCTCATTTTTAGACCGTACATGTGAGAACACAATAGATAAACCAGTTCAATCACTGTAGTAATCTCGCGAATTAAATTAATTTCTAATAATTTCGATGCTCAAACAGGCATTTTTCAGCATATTAACATCTTTGAAAGATTTGAGAGATGACTACAGTGGTTGAATTGCGTTTATATAGTCCGGAAATTTTTCGGCGCGCAGTTTGTTAGACTACAAGTGTGGTATATATATCAAGTACATGTATAGCATATTTAGTGATTCAAGATTGAATTATTTAAGCATTTTAAGATCTAACTTCGACCGATATAGGGTTCTAGTTTATCGATAAACTTTATTATATTTTTATTAATGAATCAAGGAGATTTACATTATAATTTACATTATAAATTCTTGGAAATACAATATTGTCCCACGACTATCATATTTTCAGGGTAAATTTTAAACTCAAAGAAAAAATTCTCTCCGTGTACTTCTTTTGTTTCATAGCACCAGTGCTGGGATTTACTTGCTACTGGGATTTCGGCTGATTTTCAGCTTGGTTCCTGCTCTTTACTTCACCAACTCATGCGCAGCGTAAATGCCGATCGGCATTTCGAGTGCTATATTTCGAGTCTTATAGCCCTCTGTACGATTTACAGCTGATATCGTTCCTGAATTCGATCGATCTATGTCTTCGTACGCAGTCTAAATGCTATGAAACAAAAGGAATAGGGATGACGGTAGGTAAAATCGGTCGAAATGTGCATGGAACTACAGGCCTGATGTAGGATATAATCTAAATTGCTGTTGGCCGAGATTTTGAACAAATCTATAATGGGCAATCTTGAAACAGTAATTTTACTCAGATAATATAAAGTCTAAAATTGTGACATAAGACGTCTTTAAGTTGTCTTTTAGACGCAAAAAACGGCTTATGATTTTAGACACTTTGCTTTCTGAGTAGTTATATTCAGGGCTGGGTATTTTTGCATTTAAAATGCCATTCTATTAAAAATGCTAAATGTAAAATACTAAAAAAACATATATTAAAATGTATGTAGGGA